GGGGGGTTGGATGGCCGAACGGCGTTACATCATGAGGTCTGTCATTGAGTCAAGTGGCATGGTTTTGATTCCCCACTTGTACATGACAAGGAGTAAGGTTGCCTGTTCAACCTCATGGATTTCCTTCCATTGAAATAAAATTGAACAATATGTTAGTCCCAAAATGACCTAGTTTGTGTGTATAGTGGATGTTAAACCCCATCTCTCTCCCATCTCTCTTAACCACTGAGCCACCGTGGCTCCAATTAACATTTGAGGAATATGACCCGGATGTATTTTATGATATTAGGGCAAAAGAAATCAACAAATATTTCAAAATAAACAGATAAAAAACATGTATTAAATTTGAAAGAAAAGAAAATTCGAAAATATAGAACAAAAATTCAAATATTTGGAATATTTGGAATATTCAAATTACATTCAAATAATTAAGTAAATAGTACAATCAACCTTCTATGTGACCAATCTGTTTCACAGATGATTACGAGTCTTCTAATATCTCTGTAAAAGATGACTGTCTTTAACATTTGACATCATAACACGCCGCGTCAATCATTGGCTCAGTGGTGCGTGCATTGTTTACTTAAGACGTTACTGGTTCGAGCAGAATGGTGCCTTTTACTCATTTTACATACCCATTTACACTAAATAATTTTTACCTACAAATACTTCAATTGTCTTTTTTTATTTTTCTAATACATAAAAAAATGTTTTAGAATTTAATTTGTCGGAGGAAAAAAGTTAACATTTGGGGCTCATTAAGTCGCATCGATGTCATCCTTATCAGTGATTGTTAAGGCCTAGTGAATATTCACTGTTGATCAGTGTGCTATGTGACCAGTACAAAGAATCTCAAACAGGAGAGAGAGAGAGAAATGGGGTTTAACGTCCACTCGATACAAACTAGGTCATTTCAGACTAACACATGATTCAATTTTTTCTTTTTAGGGGTCTTAAGCAGTGGTAGAAAACTAGAGGACTCGGAGAAAAACCCACGACGTTGGACAGGTGACCCTACTCCTTGTCATGTACAACAGGGGATTCGAAACCACACCAGTTGACTCAATGACAGACCTTATGATACAGCACGCATGTGCTAACCATTCGGCCATCTACCCCCCCCCCTCAAACAGGAGACAAAATAAAAATGCAGTTCATCTTGAATAGCATTAGATTGGTAAATGGTAAAAGGTGACAAAGAATTAATTACGTGGTTTTAAAACAGGTGCCTTCATTTCCGATAATCTCCACCATCCTTGTTCTCCAAGTTCCACGGATCCAGAGACAAAATATTTAGGACAATTACTGGATAACGATCCGGACACAGTTCCATACCATAATGATGTCTTCTTTCTATAAACAAATAATTAACCAAATCAGTCAGTAAATAAAGGACTACATCAGATAATTCCCAGCAACTTTCAGGATCCAACCCAGCGCCTTACATGTTGTCATGTACATGAAAGTATGTGATTAATCAACTCCAGGTTAATTACAGCAAGATTGGTAAAAAAAATCTAAAAAATCTTGTGCCATAGACTGGTCAGCACATGACATGGATGATGACAATATATTACAAAAATGTCCTTTAATGGGATTCAAAACTTTTCAATGAACTTACTTATGATGTCCGAGTAAAAGTGACCAATGTTTGTCAATAAAGGCACACACATGCTCTTTCCATCTAAAATATCCATGTTTTCCAGTTCCAGATAACTGTAAATTATACAGCGCTAGACTAACTATTGTTACCCTAAAATAAAACAAAGATCATCATAAATCATTTATCTGGGCGACAGAATTAAACCTGAATTTTAATATATGTTTTCAATAAAAAAAAGCATCTTTTGAAACTGAAAAGAGTTATGTCTATAAAAGAGAGAAATGGGGTTTAACGTCAACACAGATTCATTTGGGGATTAACATGTGGTACACTTTTATTTCAGTAATTCACATGCACATAGGAGTCTTTAGCAGTGGGAGGACATAGAGGACATAGAGAAAACCCAAGAGGCAAGGTAGGAGACTCTACTCCTTGTCATGTACAAAAGTGATATCAAAACCAGTCCACTTGACTCAATGGCAGACCTTATGATCTAAAAAGCATGTGTTAGACAATTCTTTCCGTCCCCAACCCCCCTTGGTTGTAAACATAAGTTTTCCCAACAGATATTACCATGGTATCCTGGCCCTTTCTATTTCTTCTTCACCATTTTTACCACAATTATTACATTTAAAATCAAAGAAGGTATCTCCTTGTAATGGCGAAGGCTTGCCGCTCTTCAAACAATCTAAAAGTAAAAAAAAGATATAAAAATGTAACTATAACATGAATATGTGAAACATTCAATCCAACAGAAACAGAAATTTTAAATTCTTTTTACTATCTACATTATATAAGACAATATAAGATATACCATGTCTTTGAATGGCATTTAGCTATTGAACATAATATATAACACAACACAATTCTATGGATAACAATCACTATATTTATTACACACAACGTTTCAACAAGATTTCACTGGTTGTTATCAAGCATACAAATTACAAATAAGGAAAAAAAAGTGAAATCTTGTCGAAACGTTGTGTGTATATAATATAGTGATTGTTATCCATAGAACCATCGAGTTCAGATGAAGGTGAGTAATCCATTTAGAGAAATGTAAAAGTGTATATTTACCTAGATGGAAATTGTTTTTGCATACTTCACATGTCAATACCAGACACTTGTCGTTTTCTAGTTTGCCACAATAACAACCTTGAGAATTTACACTAGACATTCTTGTTTATTTTCTTCTGTACTGTATCATATATCACACAAAGCTAAAAATAATATAAATAAATGATGCTATAAACAGTTCACAAGTACAATGGGGTTTAACATACTACTTTTCTGCACCAGCTAGGCTAATGAAGACCAGGATACATCATGCAGTGCGCTACATGTATGAGTGAAGTTTTGCCCAGGCAGCACTGCTACCGCGTACTCTTCATTGAATTCCCACTATCAAGTATGTCAAGGGTTAGTCTACATGTTCTGCTCCTAACCTGGGCTAATGAAGACGGGCATATGCCATACAGTGTGCTATGAGGGAAATTTTTCCCGGGCAGCAGGCCTACTCTTATATCAAATTCCAACTGCCATGGGATCATTTACGTGCACGCCAATGTGTACATGGGACCTCGGTTTTTCGTCCCATCAGAACGACTAGACAGCTGTCCTTGTCAGGCAATCCATCCTGCATCACTGATAAGGGGAAACCACGTCGGAAAATTTGAATGAACTTTCTCGGCCAATGCAGGGATCGAACACCCAACCTCCAGGCTAGCGAGCCAGCGTCTTACCCACTTAGCCACGTGATCCCCCACTGGGTTAGTGATTCAACACAAATAATGCAGCACCACCATAACAAATGCTTTGATTATAATGTCAGCGAGCAGGGAATTACAGGGATACGTGCTCATATATCAATGCTTTTACGATTAGGAAACAGAGAATTTGTTTATATATTCTCAGCAGTGACTTGAAAAGTTAAAATGGAATCGTAGCCCGAGATTTAGAACATCAACACTTTGATGTTGATAAAACTCAAGCATGGGGTGGGATAAAAGGAGTTACTTCCCTTGCCTTAGTTTAGCCATTCGACAAATTTTACCATGCACTGCATTTTAGAAAATAGTCAGACACAGTAGGCCTAGATGCTCAGAAGCAGTCAGAAGTTATACATCTTACTCACTTACCCTACTGCCCAACTCCCATTTAATCTGAAATACAGCTCTATTTGGTTGAACTGGCAAATTTTGTAGCAAGTGAACATTTTTTCTCAACGCATTTTCCCTTCACAATAAATCAGAGTTACCGCCCTTACACGTCTCGTATTACAGGTATTTTCGGAAAAGTTTTAGTTTTTTAGCTCAAAACTTGTTGGCTGTAAATTTACATAAATGCATTTTTAATATTATTCTGGGCAACTGCAAGGTTCAAACCATCGGCGAACTATTAGCGTTTACTTTATATCAGTCACAGTGTCAATAGCCTATAGGCTACGGTGCATTAAGGCCTTATCCATAGTACTGGGCGTCTTTTTTAAGCTCGAAAAAAAAGACAGTTCCAACTGCTTTTTAGAACATCCAAGATATTGTGAATTCTTTATGGTCATGTTTTACAAATTCCATAGGTTTGATACGGTGTATGCGAAGCATCTAATAATCAAAACCTACTTTTGAGGATCGGAACCGGAACATTAAATTTATAGGCCTAGGTCAGAAATGAAATGGGGTTTAACGCAGACTCGTAGCCAGCGGGAAATTGGCCCCCGAAAAAAAATTTGCGACCATAGCTCTAAAATACCTACTGTAGACTGCCAGGTGTGCCCCCCCCCCCCTAAAAACTTCACTGCACCTCCGCAGTCACCAAGCTGGCTACGTGCCTTGTTTAAAGCGGAAATTGCAAATTTTCAAGTTATATTTTTAAAATGTATTAAAATAAAGCCTTAAAATAGATGGTATTCATAAACAGTCCTACCTTGTTAAAGAACAATCCTATTAATCCTATAATTCGCTATTGCCAGCTGAGAAATTAGCAAAAATATCATTTTTAACTCCAAATTCCAACGTTGGAAAATGGCTGCCCCATGTTGTCAATAGCAAAACAGGGGAGGTAATTGTGTTGTTATTTCCTGTGTCATAGATTTTTAAGGGTGGGAAATAATGCCCATGATCGTATAATAGTGATTTGATAACCTATTCAGCAAAAGACATAGAAATAATTATGTTTTGACTTTCTTAGAAAATTTGAAATTCACGCTTTAACGTCCTACTTTTCTGCACTAACTGGGCTTATGAAGACGGACATACAATTGCAATTTAAATTCTCCTACTGGATCGAACCCAGAACCTTGCTCATTAGTGAGCCAGGGTCTTACTCACTTAGCCAAAGCGACTACCTTGAGGACAAGTATAGTCCTGTTAAAAATAATTACACAAAAATATATTCTTGTGGGTTTTTTTTTATTTATGTTAACATAAAACACACAACAAGATATGTGTAGCCTACTTGAAATCTCATAAGGCATATAATGTACCAAGAGAAATACTCAATAATAATTGAAAAAGTGTTAAATATTATTACAAATATCTTTACATCTTAAATGCATTAATATAAATTATAATCCTTAAACCAAACAGTACATAATAAACATTTAATAAAAAAATATACAGAAAAGTTAAATTAATTTAAAACGGAAAAATAATATAGGCAAATGACAACAGAAAATGCAAATTGTAATCCTGAAAACTTGTGCTTAAAGCCTCTGTGCGTCAATTACTTTTTTGGAAAATATAAATTTGTTACATTTTAATCCACGCTAAAATGTAGCTGACTGAAATTGATTATTTATCATTTAAAGAAGCATTATGTAAGATTTAGATAAAGGGCTGGTAGTTCAAAAATAGATAATGCAAAATGAATATATTGAAAATTTCATTCAAATTACTTAATTCTGAGCGAAGATACTAGCCTTTGAAGGTTTGACAAGATGTGTGCACTGATTGTAACCACCGTACTGGTCATTCAAGTCTTAGCCTTGCTTCTCCATTTTTAATGTAAATCATTAAATGGTCGAACCATTATAATCTACTTAAAATCTAAGCCATTCGAATCTGATGGCATCGAGAGTTGATTATGGTCTTGTCATGTTAATAAATGTCTAATTAATAATTAATATAAGATTTAAGGCCCAAAGAATGAACTGTAATTAGTGGATTTAGCTCTTACATAATGCATGTTTAAATGACAAAACATTTTCAGAAAAAATGACAGAAGAAATGTCAATCCTTACACCAATATTTACACAAGATTGAGCAATATTTACAGAAATGTGAAACATATCAAAAAAGATATTTACAAGTATAACCCTTATATATGCGGCTGTATGACTATTGATGTGGAGTGGCAAATTTTTAAAGTTGTTCTTTTTGCACATAGGAGTTTTTTCCTTGATCCGAGATTGGACACTTGACACACGCACAAAGAATCATAACCAAAAAATAAATCTTAATAGAGCATGATCAAAATGATATTCCTATTAGATATTCAACTTTTACGATATTGTAGTTCGTAAGGGATTCCTATATCGCTTTCAAATCATGCTAATGCTCCCGTCAGTTGGGGTGGCTTCCGTACTGCGCTGCTGCGACAGTACGGCGACCAGAAAATGCTCAAGGTTGCCGATTAACATTAACACAACGCGAGAAACTCTCCCAAAAAATTACAAACTTAAAAAAAGCTGCATTCTCACATCTTCCAGGTCAGATCACAGAACCTTGGCTTTTATTCTGAACATGCTCAAAATAAACGCTGTGAGTCGGTGATCATTTGCAACAATGGAAACCACAGCAGATATCTGTTATAACACAACACAGTTCTATTGTTCTCCATAGAACTGTGTTGTGTTATATTATGTTCAATCGCTAAATGCCATTCAAAGACGATATCTGTTGTTTCCACCACGCTTTAAACACCCTTATGGCGACCTTGACGTGCTCTGAGACTATTTTCCGGTGCCTTAGCAGCACAGTAAGGACACCACCCCTGTCTGATGGGGTATAAGAGACTACAATAGAAAAATTATAAATATTTTTAACATTGTAAATAAATTTGAAATTGTAATGAACGTTCAACGTAGATTATTTACAAACACCGGTAAATTATATAATATTATGATAAATATTCTAATGGGTGATATTTTGTTTATAATGCCAGAGCAAAATGACGGGGTCGCATTGATGTGGGTTTTGATGTTTTCAGTCCCCTATAAAATGGAAAAAATCATGTGGTTTTAATGCGATTTTTAACACTATAATCATAATGCTCAACTAATGTCAAACATGATAAAAATATTGGGTTTTTAACCCCCCACAGGACCTGGTTCCTCGGCCAAAATCATCAGTTATGTAGAGATATCTTAAAATATCTTAAAGGTCCTGGTTACCGTGGTAACTTATTTAATAGTCACACCAGTTTGAATTTTACTTTTTCGGAAAAAACTATTAAAATTGTGCTTATTTTTCCTTGACAAAAAAAAATGAACAAAAAATATTTGGTTGCTCTTCTAAAGTGTTTTTAGAGAGAGAAAGAAATGGGGTTTAACGTCCAATTGATACAAACTAGGTCATTTTGGGACTAACATATGGTTCAATTTTATTTCAATAATTCGTTTGCGTGTAGGGGTCTTTAGCATTAGGAGGAAACATGTGGACCCTGGGAAAACCCACAAGGTTGGACAGGCGACTCTACTCCTTGTCACATACAACCGGGGAATCGAAACCATGCCAGTTGACTCAATAACAGACCTTATGATGCAACGCGCACACATTAACCATTTGGCCATCCAACCCCAAAGTGTTTTTTTTAGTTCAAATGTATAAGTTTTTAACATTGTTCACAAGACTCAACTGGTTGTTTATCTATCAAGTCCGATAAGAAATAAAAATTAAATTACTTTGACCTAACCTGATTATTTTAGGATTAACATGTTATTTTGTTTTATTTCAACAATTCTCTTGCAGACAAGGGATCTTTATAAGTGGGAGGAAACCACAGAAAACTTGTGAAGTAAGGCATGGACGGACAGGGGCGACAACAGTATTGACACATAGGCATAGAAAAATATGTATTTATAAGCATGACCGATATGACGATCTGACTGATTTAAATAATATCACAGTTAACCCATAAGAGGTAAAATGTGTTTGTACATTGCGTTGACTATTGTACTAGCAGAAATAAGTTATTGAACATTGGTCTTCATCTGTATTACTGATATCAGTATGACTTTGGTCTCCAAATTCCTATTGAAATATCACAGCTGGAGGTTGCTAGGATACCATTTAAATAACTGATCTGAAATAAATATATAAAGAAGAAATTTATTGGATCATATTATATTGTCTTATATTATGTATTTTATTATATTCAAGCATTTCCATCTCTTGTGAGGTCAATTTATTGGAATAGTCAAATGTTTTCGGGCTTTCACTTCATAATTTGCCAGTTTGAGCAAAATGTTCCTCATAGCACACTGCATTTCTTGTATCCGTCTTTTTTGCAGCAGATTAGTACGACGGAACACCTTCATTTCATTTCATTTATAAAAGTGGCGTCCCCTCCCCCGCCCTTCCTTAGCAACCGAAGAAATGATTTTATATGGTATAGATCTTACCCCTGTAACATCACCCTTGTGCTCTTTTAAAGTTGTGATTGGTGATGGATTTATATTTGGTTCAAGAACATTAACATGAAAATCACTTGAAGATGTAAATACAGCTCCCCTTGTATGTTTTACTCCAGTAAGTTTCCCTTTATGGCCAACATCATATGTCTGAAAATACATGAGGTTAAATTTTAAAAAATCCAAAAGATTATTAATTTGTGGTGTAAAGCCTTACACAGCTAGTCGGTAAGCAGTAATTGGCGTTGGCATGCAGGTAATGAACCCTTGACAGTAGGAATTCGATGTAAGATTAGGCCGTAGTGCCGCTGTTCTCGCAAAATTTCCCTCATAGCACACTGCATGGCGTATGCCCGTCTTCATTAGCCCAGTCGGAGCAGAACAGTAGGACGTTAAACCATCCCCTAACAGCATGCTTAAAACTTTTCGTCTTGATCAGCCACAATGAATATAAACTAATTCGTTCAATCTGATTAAAATACAGATCTATATTTCGTTTCGTTTTTTTTTTATACATTTGATGGCCTACACTACATGAAGATCTGACCAGTTTTACTGAAAGGTCGCATCAGGGGTCGTACGAGGGGCTCTTGACCCTATGACATCAGACATTGATTAATCAATCAGCGTTGATGTTTCTAGTGGTTTACCCACAGTTCCGTTATGGCATGCCTAGAAGTCACCGTAACAGATGGTTTCATTGGCTAATATGTCACGCCATCCAGAACGCATGTTATAGAACTCCAGATCCTAGTGTAGCACAGACAAATAAAACGAAATTTTGAACTATAAAATACGAAACGAAATAGGATCTGTGTTTTAATCATGTTATATAACAACACTTCCAGGCCCTAGTGCATTGAAGACATGTAAAACGAAATTTTGAACTATAAAAAACGAAACGAAATAGGATCTGTGTTTTAATCAAATTGTAATTTGTTGTACTTTTGAGATGAAAACTTACAGCAACTGTGTTGAAATTGCCATATGTAGCATCCATAAGATGTAGTTGACCCTCTTTATCTCCAAACCACAACTGATTATCACCATAACTCAAGTCTAATGCATAACAATTTTCAAGCTGCAAAGAAAAAGTTGTCTGATCAGTCCAAAACGGTCAAAAGTAACAACACATTAAAGCAGCATTATGAAAATTAGACAAAAAGCAGACAGTTCTCGCTAGAATAGTTAAAAAATCTAAAGGGAATATGCTGAAAATTTCAGTCAAATTACTTCACTCTAAGACGAGAAATCCTCATTTTAAGAACACTGTAGCCTCAATTGTCATCGTTACCGTTGTTACGATAATAAATAAAGTCTTGATTATCCATTGTCTCAGTTAATCATCAATTTCCGTTGAACCACAGATCGGATTCAAAACTGTTTAAAATCAGACCCATCAGATGACATCGAGAGTTTATTATGGTCTTGTTATGTTAATAGATGTCTAATTAATAGTTTATATAACATTTAATGCCTAAAAAAAGACCTACAATAGACAGATTTATCTCTTGCATAATGCCTGTTTAAGTAACTAAGAAAAATAATCAAACAATGATTAAGCTCTTGTCCTTCCTAATTGGAAGTATTAAGAAGAATCTCTTTCACTATAATTCATAACTGGTGGGAACACATTTTTTTTCCTAACAACATTGCCAAAACATCACAAATTTAAGTCGTCATTTTGGCACGGCAAATACAAATGAAATGGGGTTGACGTGAACCAACCGGGCTAATGAATACAGGCATACGCCATGCATTGTGCTATGAGGAAAATATTTGCCTTATTTCAAAATTCCAACTTTTACAGGTTCTTTTACATTTACAAGTATGTCAATGTGTACATGGGACCTCCGTTTTTGTCCCATCTGAATGACTATACACTGTTCTTGGCCAGAACCTTCGTCATGCATCACTGACACAGAGAAAACCACACGGTTAAATCTTGAGGAACTTTCTCAACCATATTCGGGATCAGAACTGGGACCTCCTGGTTTCTTTTACATTTACAAGCACATCAATGTGTACATGGGACCTTATTATTTGTCCCATCTGAATGACTATATGCTGTTCTTGGCCAGAACCCTTCGTCATGCATCACTGACACAGAGAAAACCACACGGTTAAATCTTGAGGAACTTTCTCAACCATATTCGGGATCGGAACTGGGACCTCCTGGTTTCTTTTACATTTACAAGCACATCAATGTGTACATGGGACCTTAGTTTTTGTCCCATCTGAATGACTATACACTGTTCTTGGCCAGAACCTTCGTCATGCATCACTGACACAGAGAAAACCACACGGTTAAATCTTGAGGAACTTTCTCAACCATATTTGGGATCGAATCTCAGACCTCCTGGATGGCAAATGAAACGACTTTTAGATATTAATCCTGACTGAAACCTAAGACTGAACATAAGGCACCTACCACAGACGATGTCAAACACAAATGATCATAAACGTACATGAAGAGCCCTGGGGAAGAACAAGTCACTTTTTCCATGAACCCCAGTTAATGGTGCCATCTGGTAATAAATTGTATTAGCTTTCTATGGAACAATCGATTTCAGCTAAAAACGATCAGAGTTACATCGAACCAGGGCCTTTCTGAAATGGTCTCCTGTTCGATAACAATCTAAATGCACGGCGTTCCGGTCGCATCAACCATTCTCGTTCATAAGGTTTCAAATTTGTTTTGCATTTTATGCGAAATACATAATGTGACAAATTGTTTTTCCTCTGGGTTCTTCATATATTATAAATTGTGCTTGACAAAGTCTGTGACAGCTGCCTTATATCCAGACTTGTTGTTAAACATACATTATGCAAGAGCCAAATCTGCCAATTGCAGGTCTTTCTTTAGGCCTGAAATGTTATCTAAATTATTAATTAAACATTAATTAACTTATCCAGACCATTACCAACTCTCGATGGCATCACTAGCCTGTGGTAATTACTGGATTAGAACCTGGTCTTCTGCTTCTGATCAAATCAAAAAATGGATAATCGAGACTATGTTTTTTATCGTACCGACTTTAGTAATGATGATTGAGGCTAGGCCCAAAATTCAATCTCTAAATACTCAGTTCAGGGTGGATCAATTTGATTGAAATTATCTAGTTTTAACAATGATAGTAAGAACTACCAGCTCTTTATCTAATCTCCCATAATGTATCTTTAACCATGAGAAAATTACTAACCTCTACAGTTTTATAAACTGACGATGTCCGTCTGTCGTAAATACTTATAGTTTTATCCTCGCTACCCGTTATAATATAATTATCATCGGCAGCCACACATAACACTGGCTGACGATGAAAACGTTTGAAACTTTTCTTTCCTTCTCTCGGGTCAATGAAATAAAGTTTCTTGTCGTAGCCACCCGCTACAATTAGACCAGGTTCCATATGAATTGACAATATGGCTGATTTACACCTGGAAAAATAATAGTGGGAAATATTCTTTGAATGGCATTTAGTAATTGGAACATTCTTTGAAGAAAACATCTTTCAGGGTAGGAATGGATCAACCAATTTAATCCATCAATCATGGATTATTCAACAATAGCAACAGAAATGACAGAGGTTGATATTCAAAATCTGATTTCTGATAACTTTCTGATAAGTTGTTTTTGGGTTGGTTTAAGGATCGTTTTTTTCTATTCCTACTGGGCTCATAAAGACGGACATACATCATGCATTGTGCTATGACGAAAATTTTGCTAGGACAGTGGCATTAGGACGACCTACTCTTATTTTGATTTCTATCTAATTTGCTGCCAATAGTATATTCGGGACCTCTGTTTGATTTTTTGTCTCATTAATCCTCACCATTCCTTCCACTGCTAAAGACCCCTATCCGCAAGCAAATTATTGAAATAGAATTGTACTATTTTTAGTCCCAGAACGTCCTGGTTTGCCTAACCACATTTTTCTCTTTTTTGTTTGGAATATTGTGACTTGAAAGGGATATTGCCAGATATTATTGAATAGTTGGTAGAGAAAATTTAAGACATTTCATTTAATTTATATGTAGAAAAAGAAAATGTACGTTACTTGAATTCTGTAATTGGTTGACATCCAGCTTCAATATTCCACAGTCGTATAAATGTATCCCATGAACCTGTAGCTAATGTACTGTCAACAGAGGCTAATGACCATATCCAACCCTGGATATAATAAGGCACAGTTTATTGTTTATGATAATCATGACAAATATGTACTGTAGCCAGCATGATTAAAGGACAATATTGGTGCCAGTCATTATCACATATGTGATACAACTGGTTAAACATGTTCCAAATATTATTTTATCACAAAGATCATTGCTACGATAGATGAGTAATGAAGGGTTCAACAAACGGAAGTGATGAACGCAAAAGGAAAACACAACTTATCCTTCTATATAACTGACTGAAGTGACGAGTGATAACAGATACACGGGCGAATTTCTGCTCACTAATAAGTTGTTATGTGAGACTGTGAGAGGATATCTGACATTTCAAAGAAGTAATTGAATGTCACTAGGTAAGAGAACAAGGGAAAAATAGAAATACAATGTAGTCTGTACATTCCCTTGTTTTTATTCTTTCTATACTTAATAAAAACATGGTAGTGCACAGACTTTTTCTATTTTTTTTTTCATTTTCTCTTATCTAGTGACAGTCAATTTCTTATTTGAATTGTCAGATATTCTCTCACAGTCTGACACAACAACTATTGGTCTTCGAAGAAGTTATTAGTGAGAAGAAATTTGCCCAGGTATCTGTTATCACTCGTCACTTCATTCAGTTATATAGAAAGATAAATCGTGTTTTCCTTTGCGTTCGGCACTTCCGTTTGTTGAAACCTTCATTATTCATCTATCGTAGCAATGATCTCTGTGATAAAACTATATTTGAAATAGGTTTAACCAGTTCTATCACATATGTGATAATGATTGACACCAATATTGTCCTTTAAATAGCTGTTTTTTATTCCAGGAGAGACCAGTCTCACTCTACTTTATATATTTAACATTTCTCATTATTTACCAAATACCTTTTACTACTGAAAATATTGTCACCAATAGATTTAATTTAGTTTGTGGACTTCCAACAATCAACACTAATTATCAGAAATTATTGAAGACCAACAGGCTTCTTCATCTTATGAACTTACAAACTGTGTATATTCGGATGCCATCTTTGGTTTCTAGAGCATCCACAAGATTTGTCAAACTGATCCAGGGCCATAACGCTGGCAGTAATTACCAGAAATCGTTGGAAATCAATGGGATTCTTCGTTTCATGAACATAAACACCGATAGATGGTGGTGATGACAATATACAATCACATTTCAATGTGAGCATAAAACAATGTGTATTGCAATTGATGCAACCTTCAATAGGTCACATTGAATGGCTAAAAAATATCTTACAGTTTTACAGTATTTGTTACGTTTATCACATCAGAGTAGAACTAGTTTCTCAAAAACAGATTTACCTTATGAATTTTACAATCACTGTATACTGTCATTTCTTTCTTTGATTCAGGTCTGTGTTTATCATATTTATCCAAATCAAGAATAGTTAAATAACGATCTCTTGATCCAGCAGCCAGAATAGAACCGTTCTAAAAAAAATCAAGTCAGATACAGTACACACAGATTAAGCATGGCATGGGTAGAAATCTCCTCTACGGTAGCTATAAAAGGAAAGATAACTGTCTGGGATATCAGTTGATTTGGGAAGGGGAGGTTATTTCACACACAAACAGTGGTGACACGAGAGATTTAAATATAACGATTAACACCTTACGATTTGATGAAGTGATGAATTGTAATGTGGAACGGTGAATTGCCATACATCACTAATACCCATGATCCGTGTTGGATTTAGGACTAATAAGGCCCTGTGCTAGTTAAGTTATGAGGCTCCTTACTTGGGCCTTGAAGGAGGTAGGCCCCGCATGCCTACAGGCAGTACAGCATACAAGCTCAGAAAAGGATAGTTAAAATATTACATGTTACCAGATCAATCATTATTTTCAAAAAGTTTTAGGCAAATTTTTGAATTATTTGGATGGAACATGGGGCCCCTGTGTCAACGGGGCCCTGTGGTTAAGCACAATGGTAAATCCGTCATTGCCCATGACCAACCATGTAAAGGTTTAGATGACTCAACAACTGTACCAAGGTAGGACGCTAAACCATATTTAATTCATTCATTTCTTTCGGCAACTCCTTGCACATGACAAAATTGAATGAAATTGGGTTTAACAACCTACAGTTCTGCTCTAGCTAGCCTAATATAGACAGGCATATACCATATAGGGTGCTATGAGGGGGATTTTGCCCAGACAGTGTCACTAAGGCCTACTCTTATATCCAATACCAACTATCAAGGGCTTTTTTTACGTTCAGGCCAATGTATACACAGAACCTCAGTTTTTTGTCAATCTGACCAACTATACATTGTTCCTTGTCAGGCCCTCCATCCTGCACAAATTACAATGGGGAAAAATGCCAGAAAATCCTGATGAACTTTCTCAGTATACACAGGGATCGAACACAGGACCTCAAGGTTAGGGAGCCCATGTCCTACTCACTGAAACACTGTGGATCCTGCACACTGCAAATGACAAAGCAGACATATTTGGTACAAACCTTCATCAAATGAACTGTATCCACTGCTGCAAATAAACCTTCGTTATATGTAAAATAGTCCAGGTGATCATCAGGGTTACTCCACTGTCGATATGTCTCTTCTCGAATGATACATCCTTCTTGCCAATCAAAATCGTCAACTATATAAAATAAAAATATCTGAGTAAATTAAATGAAATGCGGTTTAACATCCTATTTTTCTGCATGAATCGGACTAATGAAGACAAGTTTCGAAGTACTATGATGAAAGGTCCTGACAAGGACAGCTGTCTAGTCATTTGGATGGGACAAAAAACCAAGGTCCTGTGTACACATTGGCGTGCCCGTAAAAGATCTCTTGGCAGTTGGAATTTGATATAACAGCAGGCTGTAGCACTGCTGTCTGGGCAAAATTTCCCTCATAGCACACTGTATGGTGTGTGCCCGTCTTCATTAGCCCAGTTGGAGCAGAACAGTAGAGCGTTAAACCCTTATAGCTTACTCTATTTCGAATTCCAACTGGGTGCGATCCAGTGCCTTACTCACTGAGTCACCACAGACAGTATACATGTATGTTAAGAGGTTATATATCTCATTGGTGATTCCACAGATTCTGTACATTTTGTAAAATAATTTTTTAGATTTCTTTATTTGTCTTGGTTAGTTGGCCAAATATTCCAATGTGTGCCATTTAGATAGTCTCTCATTGCATTAAGTGATGTGGTTTCAAGCCTACACTTGTACCTGACAAAGAGTAGGGTCGCCTGTTTGACCTTGTGGGTTTTCTCCAACTCTTTCGGTTTCCTCCCACTGCTGAAGACCCCTGAATTGTGTTAACCACATGTGTCCAGTGAATCTCTGTCTCTCTCTCTCTCTTTCGCTCTCTCTCTCTCTCTGCTAAGTGATATCTTACCATGTATAGCTGGGTATTTTTGAGGCCATCTTTTAGAAATTCTTTGTTTCCAGTATGAATCACAAGAAAACAGATCGTAGAATTCTTGACAGACATTCATCAAACTTTTAATGATGGTTTTTGCATCAATAAAATTTGATATATAAATCAAGAGTTCCGATGGTAGATTATTTAGGAGAAGGGGAGGTAAATCATCATCTTTACAATCAACAGGTTCTTTGCAGGAACAATCTGATAAGGAGGTGCTGGGAGACGCCATGGCATCAAATATATCATTTACAATCTGAAATATATTACAAAAATAGAAACAGTTTTATTTCTTTGACATCGGCTGTACTAAAAAATATCAATTTTTCATTTATCCTGTTGTTTTCTTGGTAAATATTGACCTGGTTATGAATCGTGATATAAATCGTATTGTAGCACCTGAATCCCAATACGTATCGTATCATGACTTTAGTGACAAACGGTGAATATGATGTTTTCTGTCTGTGTCCCAATTTTTCCCTGGACATCTGGTAACCATGCTATATTGTAAGGTTAAAGTGGAGATAAATAGCCCATTTGAATGGCAGATTTAATTCTCAGACTGCATGATTATGTAAGATCTAAATTTGCCTATTGCAGGTCTTTCTTTTGGTCTCAAATGATTGATATATAATTATCAATTTGACATTTATTTGTATGTAACAAGCCCATAATCAACTGTCTAGACCACCGGATGGTCCCAAGTCTTTAATGGATTGAAACACTTTGGCACTTCAATAATACATGAATCACCCATTCCAAAAAAAGGGTGTGTCACTGTTGCATTGTGGGAGATCGGTGAGCAAACTCACTCGTAGGTCGCCATTACTTTGCATTGGATTTTTCTGACCAAATTTCGAAAAACGCTGATTTTACGTTAATTTTAGTGATGGGGGATATTTCATATGATGTGATAGAGATACAAATGGTTGACGCACATAAAGAATACCTCAGAAAGCACATTTTGAAGTATACAGTTCGCAAAAAGGTAAAATTTTGGGAATGGGTGATTCATGTATCAGATTTAAAAATGGATAAACTAGACTTTGTTTATTGTAACAATCATGGTACGGTACACGACAATCAAGACTAAACCCTCAAAAGGCTGATAACTTTGCTCAGAATAAGGTAATTTGACTGAAATTTCCAATATATTCATATTTCATTATTCTAAACTAGTATAGCAAGAGTTTACATAATGCATATTTTAACAGATTAGACTAGTCTAGTCACTGATCGCAACAAATAAATAATTGACTAAGTCTAACTAATGCAAACAGATTTATCACTTACATACAGATCTTGAAAGGTGCTGAGCAAGATTTCACTTCGGTAAGTAAGATTTAACAGTTCTTTGCAATAAAAAGTATTATGCTATGTTTAAAATATTTAGAAATAAGATCATTTCTAAATATAGAAAGAAGCCCAGAAAAATTTAGTCAACATTTTTCGTCCAGCAGATTCCAAATCGCCTGCTTTTCACGCCGTCGTTGATCTCTCTGGAATATAAATCGTTCGTTCGTGAGGATTAACGTCTACTTTCACCTAGGGTGATATCGCATATAAAATAAACTTGGAATTTTTTAATATATATGTGTGCGTAATAGAATAAATACCTCAGAGATCTTTAGTTTATTTACATAAAAATGAAAGTCGAGTTTCTGGCAAGGGAGATAATTTCTTTTGTCCAATCAAATTCTTTGTTACAAATAACATCCTTTTCCTTTATTCAATATTCTTTAAGAAATAATTTCAGCGAGAAAAAAATAATGATTTTCAAGATAATTAGAGTAATTTGTATTTCAAAATGAACATATTGTTATGGGCAATAAAACGTGATATTTTAAAACATATTGTTCTTGATTAACCAGTATTCATATTCAATTTTCGTCTATTTTTAAAATCTGGTAAACCGAAGCTAGAGACTCATCTCGTTAGTTTCCGGCGATATCATCGGATTATTCCGGAATATATGCAGAATTTGCCAAAATGGCGTGGCAGCCAGAAGAATCGGGACTCCGGCAAATATTACAGTTGTTGAAAGAGTCGCAGTCCCCTGATACGGCAACTCAAAGGGCTGTACAACAAGTATCCTTTATAAATTATCCCGTATGGCCACAAGTTTGTGGTAATTTAGTGGTCATTAGGGTGAAAATTAAAGCGGGGAAATCGTGACCACGTGCACCTGACTGAACAAGCGGATGCCGCCGAATCGTCATTATTAGGCCTATCGGTTTCTTACCTATTTATGGATCAACCAAGTCGATGTTCCTAATTCACAAATATTTCATGGTTTTTTTTTATTCCTTATCTTTTTGTCTAGAAATTAGAAGAATTAAATCGTTATCCAGATTTCAACAACTACCTGATTTTTGTACTAACCACACTGAAAACCGAAGGTAGATTTCCATTTTATTTCAGAAAATAGGTCTATTTTGTTAAGTCATTATTCATGTTTTCATATTGAAAAAAAAGAAAAGATAAGATTACCATATCGTGAATTGTGCTTTTTATTTGTGGGTGGTTTGATGTTTATAATAGAATTAAGTGTTCAGTGGAAATAATGTTACAAGATAAAAAGATTATATTCACTTGTTAAAAGTTTGTCTGAAACATTTGACTCGTTCTTGAGGTTTTCTATCTATTGTATTGTCACGGGTGATCTGTGGCTCAGTTTTTAAGACGCTAGCTAGCTAACCAGGAGGTCTCTGGTTCGCTCCTGGCATTGGTAGAGAAACCTAAGGATTTTATGGCATGGTTTCCCCTGGTCAGTGGTGCAGGATGGGAAGGCCTGACAAGGCACAATGTGTTGTGGTTCAGATAAATAATGATTGTAGGGGTGATGATTTTCCGTGATCGCGGAAAAAACGCGGAAATCGCGGAATTGTCCACTCAAAACGGAATTTGAAATCTCACACGGAAAAAGACGGAAAAGCCGATATTTGCTGATACTAAACACAAACTCAAAATAATTTTGCAGTTATCCAAGTATTTCATCTTTTTATTCATAAAAATCGAAAATATTGAATGATATCGCGTGGTTTTGTTACTGTCTATTTTAGTATTTCGCTACTTTCATTTCATCATTTAGGAATCATAATTTTAATCGAAACGAAAACCTGTCTTTCATGTATCCCATTATAAAATTACTCTGTAGTTTAACTTGAATTAAACATTGTAATGTATATATATGTCTTTAAAAAAACTTCTGTCACTTCATAAAAGTAAAAATCGTTTCATTTACTTCTTATTTTACTGCCGGGCTCGTGACTCGTGTTTATCCGCATTAACCACGTGACATCAGAAATATACCGTAGCCTTGTGAATCCAGCCCTTATTCTCGAAGAAACGGTAGTAACTACGAAGATGTCTGGATAAATCGCGACTACACCTAGCAGCTGAGAAAAATGGCTTCGTCTGCTAAAAAGATGAAACGAGCTCACAAGATGTAATTTTCTGTTATTTAATTCGGGAAACAGGTTTAAAGAATAACTAGTCATTGAACATTACAAGTCATTCACAATTCAACATTTGTTATCATTGGTTTAAAATGATCCGTTTTGTAATAAAAGGCATTTTAAGATGTTTTATTCATTTATTCATAAAATAACATTTTATCTCGAAAAAACGGAATATGGTCAGCTCTGAAACGGAAAATAACGTAATTAGAAATACTTAAAACGGAATTTGCTATTTTCTGAAACGGAAAATCATCACCCCTATGATTGAGATCCTGTGTACACATTGGCATGCACGTAAAAGAACTTTTGATGGTTGGAATTTACATGATTATTGACGTAAAGCTCTTACTTAAAGTTCCAAACTACCAACTCGAATAATTTGACACGCAGTATTTTATATTTTTGGTGGTGGGCTGATTTTTTGGCATAGCATCAATAGATAGGTCATCCAAGATTGATAATGCATCTGGAAAAGTAGTTGGTTGATTGTTCGAAAACCGTAATAACATATCCAGTAGGGAATTGGGTGAAAATTAAAACAACAATGCACTCTCTTTTGGCTATGGACTATCTCAGTAACCATCACGCGATCTATGTTTATTCCAACAGACAAGTAAAATTGTCTTGCAACACTTGATGGGTCAATTCTTTAACCTAAAAAATCAACGCATTGAGAGAAAAATAAGGTTGAAATATTTTGTGGGTGCTTTAATACAAATAAATTACTCTTAATTTCCAGATGATCCAACCAGATCTTTAAGTGGATTGATTTTGAAAAACAATGTTCGTGCTCATTTTGAAAAATTTCCAACAGAAGTAACCTCATTTATAAAACAAGAATGTCTGAACAGTATTGGGGATCCTTCGCCATTGATCCGGGCAACTATAGGCATTCTCGTTACTACTGTTGTTGCAAAAGGAGAACTAAGGAACTGGCCAGAATTACTCCCTACTCTCTGTCAATGTTTGGATTCGGAAGATTATAATATATGTGAGGTGAGTGTTAGATTTTTCTTTAAAAATTGCATGTAATTGATTTAGAATATAAAGGCGTCTTTAACGACACATACTTTCCATTCTCAAGTATCACACTTGCTAAATACACACATTATCTATCCACAAAAAGATAGTTACTTTTGATTTTCTTGCATTTATAGTAATGATAATTCAAGTACTGTGCATATCATTCTGTCACATGACTGACAAAAAATGGCAGATTGTGGCCGGTCCCGTGATGTCATTGATAAATATTTTTTAGTAGCTTGAACAGCTATGATTAAATGTAATCAGATTGCCAAAAGCACATTTATCTACTACAGGGTAATCACCTTACATTTTCATTCTTGTGAACATTATCTTGAGTACATGTATCTTAAAAGAATATTGAAATCGATTTAGCATGTTCAAAATGCCTGAAATAGGATTCAGGAAGTTTTTATGTATGGTGGGCCTACAGAGCTATATTAAGATATTGTTGGCCTCTGGTATTAATAACTGAATATAAAATCTAGATTTCTTACTCTTTTTCTACTTTCACTAAATAATTGTCAACTAACCTTTGGAGGCCCTCCAGCTGACAGAGGCTCGTGGGTAAAAACCCTAAACCCCCATGGGTCTAGGCAATCTAGTTAGTAGAGTTCCTATTCATGAACAGAATGAATATATTTTAGACTTAAAATTACCTGTGATTATAGGCTTCTATTCACATAGCACATGTAAGATTTTGTCCATATAAAAACAAATATTCTGGCATTCCCACATCACTTAAAAAGTGCTGCATGACCCATTTTGTTTTTTAAAAGAATAAATATTTTACCACTGGAAAAGAAAGTAACTTTACAAAAAAATTCAAAGGAATCCAGAAATGCACCATAGGCTCTTCATCAAGTATGAAACCCTGGTTAATAATAATATTGACAAGTATAAATGATACATGTACTTGATAAATGTATTATCTTGAAACCCGTTGTTTTTGAGAAGTCATATAGCCCAGTAGTGATCCTGGCACAAAATAAAAGCCCCCCCTCCAGCATCGGATTTTTGGTAAGGATTGTCTTGAGATCCACAATATTTTTTTGGATATGGCCTTATGTAAAGCTTTTTATGTGCAGCACTGTTGTACTTAAATCTCTGTAGCTTTAGCCTTGCCTTGTAAAATGCAGCCCCAGATTATTGTTCCCTGTACACCTCGAGGTGGATCAACTTGACTGAAATGCTGTGATGTTTTAAAAAAAACACCCCAAATAAACAGAAAAACCAATAATTTGACTTCGGCAAAGTGTACTGTTATCTAAAATCAACAATGATTGTATTGAATTTTATGGAATTGGCTGGAAATGTTAGTAATTAAAGTATTTTTGCTAAGAATGTTTGTTTTTAATTAAGAAACTAATCAAATAAAAGAATGATGAAAATTGCCAAGTTTTTGTATGATTAGATTAAGGAAGCTACATGTATGTGTAGAGTTAAAGGATTTCTCTTTCTCTCAAAAAACAAATTGTCATAAAAAAAAAATCACTCAACATGAAAAATCCAAGCATGCCCATAATGTATGCTATGTCCCTGTGGGTAGACAGATTGTCTAGGATTTTAACACCCCTAAAAGGATTTAATCATAATGATGAAGAAAATATATGCTCACGTACTAATTGTAGAGTATAGAGAGCCTCTCTTTAAATATACATTATGCAAGAGCTAAATCTGCCTATTGCAGGTCTTTCTTTGACCTGAAATGTTATCTAAATTATTAGACATTAATAAACTGATCCAGACCATAATCAAAACGTGATGTCATCTCTAGCCTGTGATATTTACTCGATTGGAATCCGATTTGCTGCTCAATGTTCATTGATGATTAAATCAAAAAATAGATAATCAAGACTGTTTTTTATCGTACTGACTTTAGTAATTATGATCGAGGCTAGACCCAAAACTCAATCGCTAAATTCTCGGTTCAGAGTGGATCAATTTGACTGAAATTTTCAGCTAAATCCCTTTACGTTATCTAGTTTTTAACTATTATAGTAGTGAGAACTGCCAGCTCTTTATCTAATCGCCCATAACGTATCTTAAAGTACAGAAATAAGCTTACAGGAAATTAGTCTGAAATAGTTTTCTTGATTTGTACTTGTTGCATGTACAAATACAATTATGAGTGCATGTGCAACCAGCAGGTGTTAATTATTTATTATAAATGCATATGCAGCCTGCTGGAGTTAATTATTTATATAAATGCATGAGCAGTCTGCAGGTGTTAATTTGAATGAATGTTTCGATTACTATAAAGATTGAAGATTTCGCAAGATTGCAATATCTTGGTATAAATCACAAGTCTTGTTCAATGCTGTCATGCCTAACATGAAAGGGTCGGAAACGTCGATTACATATGGTGAAAGGTATTCTGCTGGTCTTGCGGATTCAGTTATGTTTACATTGTATCGATGGTCTGATGGTATAAACAATAAAGTCTTGTAAAAAAAATAAGTTTTATTCAGTTACACATGAAGAATTCATACTTCTTTGTGAATCACTCCCCTAAGACTTTTGTGAGAGCTCTATTAGGCGAGTGATTTTGAGTGTGATCAAATTTAGGAGAGCTTTTTTTTTTTTTGCTCCTGACACTTTTAAACCCACATGATTGGGAATGGCCTGGGGAATTATCTGCCTAACCATAAGAATTTAAGAAATGAATGTTTTAGACTCAAAAAGATCTAGTTTTGTGTTAAATAGACATTAAAGCCATTGCCTTTTATTTGTGTATTTATAAGAAATGTGTGGAAATAGAATCTGATTGAAATCAATCAATAGTGTGGTTATTTAATGCAGGTGCTTGTTCCTTGGAGAAAGGATTCGAAAAAATTACCCTTTCCATTGTTAAAAAATGAAGTGATGAATGGTAATGCTTTAAAGATACTTTCCCAGAAAAGTATTTATCAGATTTTTATTTTCAATAAAAGTATGACAATTTTGGTATATATGGAAAATAGAAACATCCAATCTTACTAGAAAAGTAATGGATTCCATGAAAAACACCCATGGAGTGCATACAGGGCAAACATATAGGGGTTTCCCTAACCGGCAGTACCCGTTGCTAGGTACTGTAACACATCAGCCAAGTCACGTGACACAAACATGACTTCTTTTAATAGATTTTCTGTAGCAGCAGGGGTATTCTCTCACGAAAACAATGTTTTGAGAAGGATTTGGAGCAAAATTTTGATAGATTAATTCGTTTGAATACGTTTTTAGTCCAAATATATCATCAAATCACCCAATTTGTACGCGGGAAGGTATCTTTAATCCCATTGCTTTTTATTTGGGTGTTTAAAAGAAATGTGTAGAAACCAAATCCTGTTGAAATCAATCAATATTGAGGTTATTTAATGATTTAATGCAGGTTTTTGTTACATTGGGAGAGAGGGGGGTTAAATACATCGTTATCACCTTCACACCGTAAAAGGATATTGATTTCTAATATTGGTACTCAGTTGGGGAATAGTCTGGTATCTAGATCACTGGTTTAATCATTAACTACACTGTATATAAAGCTTGTTAACTAGTTTATCCAGACATGGGTTAACCTTGTATTAACTAGAGGTGCATCTTGTTCAACACCTGGGATTTTACATATAAGCTTTGTGTTTTATCCCCTCCCAACAACATCTGGTTCTTCTATACCCTCTAGCATTCCAGATGGTCTCTACAATTATCAATATTACAAAATAGTATAAGATTTCATTGTATCAAATACCCTGTGTACAAGTATATCTTGTTCAACTCAAATGATCTTGTAGAAGCTTTGTTCTTTATTATTGAAATCTGAAAACATAGCAAAACCAATCAAAAAAATAGATCATATTAAATAAACTGCAATAAAATCTTATAAAGTGAAAACTGTCAGTGTAATAAAACATTGAAATCTGATATTCCCAATATGGTTATCATTGTATAATGTATTAGGAATTTGATATACCCAACAAGATTGTTTTACACGCAGATGTATTACAAATGAGGGGGTTTGGGTGGCCGAATGATTTAACATCTACGCATTATATCAAAAGGTCTGTTATTGAGTCAAATGGTGTAGTTTAGATTCCCTGCTTGTACATGACAAGGAGTAGGGTCGCCTGTCAAACCTTATTATTGAAGTAAAATTGAACCATATGTTGGTCCCGAAATGACCTAGTTTGTGTCGAGTGGGTGTTAAATCCCATTTCTGTGTGTATTACAAATGAATATATAGCATAATAATCAAATAAAATAAATATTGTATCAAAAAAAAAAAAGTGAAATGTAATATAAATGCAGCCAATATTCCCGTGTGCATCATTTTATTATGCATTATAGTAATGTTTGCCAAACATATTAAAATTTACAGTAAAATCATTTTGAGTAAGCCATTATTTTCATTATTGTACATGTATACATTACAATATGCGTATTGTAATACATGTAATATGTATACATGTATTTATTAAAATTCACAGTAAATGGTTTTGAGTTGAGGTAACTATAGTAACTATCTATACAATATATCTATAACTTTGTAATCTTTTAATTGAAGCCAATATTATCAACAGCATGGTTGATTTACCATGTTTTTATGGCATATTACTTATGTAGTAAAACACCTCAAGCAATGGATTTATTAAAGAGGATTTGTATAGAAATTATGCACTGTTAATTGAAGTAGTTTATGGCTATCTTTTTTTCAAGATATCTACAATGGAGGCATATTTCCTAGCTTTGTGTGGCTGTCTTTTATTACAATTAATTGATTTTATACAATTTGTTAGCGGAGCATCCAAACAACTTATTGAGGGAATACAAGTATAAATATTTCAAGTATTTTGCAGTTTATGGCCATCTTTTTTTTTCAAGATATATCTACTGTGGGGGCATATTTCCACAGTTTGTGTGGCTATCTCTTTTATTTATGATATTTCATTTAATTGATTTTTTGCGATGTGTTACCTGAGCATCCAAACAACTTGTGT